TATTCTATTCTATTCTATTCTATTCTATTCTATTCTATTCTATTCTATTCTATTCTATTCTAAATATTGGAACAGTGCTATTGTATTGTAGTTGGACTAAGGAGAAATTTCCTAAGGTTGAGACCAATCAAACTGGCCAGCCCACCCAGTTATTAGGGCAGAGAACTGGTTGTTAATTATTTGAATCCCACCAATGTCTGGAAAGCCTCATTGTTGCACAATTGAATACATTTTCAATATTTTTTTATAAAAAGAAATAATAATAAATTATTAAACCTTGACTCCTCGACAACTCGTTGTTTTTTGCTTTAATGGTAGTTCGTTGGTAGTTTTCTCCTCTGGTGGTTTAGTGTTTATTTCCATGGCTGATTTGTTTGTGGGGTCAGTATCCGTCTGTTTCATGATTGCGTATCTTGGATGGAAGATAGAAATAAAATTATCAGGTTATTGTTTCATAACACAAATTGTCCATGGGGATTCTCAGTGATCCAGGTCATGATTGTTTCATAAGACATTTCCCATGTGTTTTTACTACCTCATATTCTATTGTCCACAGTGCGAGATGTGTCCTCATACTATATAATCAGATATTGATTTGAACCTTTTAGCAGCAAAGAGACGTGTAAAATCTCCACCTTTTTAGACTGTTCTAGAGCAGAAGTGGGGAACTTTGGCCCCTTTATTACTTATGGTCTTCAACTCCCAGAATTCCTGAGCCAGCTCTGATGCCTGGGGGGATTCTGGGAGTTGAAGTCCACACGACTTAAAGTTGCCAAGTTTGGAGACCCCTGCTAAAGAAAATCACCTAAGGCACTGCGTACCTACTTATACAGAAGCCACTTCCTGCAAAACCGATAGCCAGAAACACGCCTGTTTCCAGACTTCTGTAAAGGCCATTTTTCATCCTCCCAGAGCCTCCGCCTGGACCCTGCACTTACCTGTCTCGCGTGAACCAGTCCGAACTGGCTGAATCCCATCCCCGCATATGTAGGTTCCAGTGAGGAAGAAAGCAGACTCAAGGGCTGTGGGGACCCAGGAAGTAGATGCAAGGGATCCACTGGGGCGGGATGGAGGAAAGATATGCAGGTGGGGACCATTCCAGTATCCCTACGGTCAGTCGTAAGGGTGGGTGGGTTGCAAAACACCTAAGTTGTGATCGTGGGGCTGTGGGGCTGTGGCACCAGTTGTAACTTGGGTACAGGTCATTAGTCACTTTGTTCAGCATCATCATAATTTCAAACAGTCAGTGAACAAATGGATGTAAGTCAAGGATTACCTCTACAACAAAGCAATGAGAAAGTCAGGCTTTGAAAGAGGTTGTTACGTTATTAGTTCGGCATTAATGTTATTTATAAAGCCATAGGGGTGGGGGAATCTCCAAAACTTGGCAACTTGAAGACTTGTGGACTTCAACTCCCAGAATTTCCCAGCCAGCCATTTCAAGATCTAGATGTTCTTCATCATCATTTCCCAACCTTCTTGAGAAGTTCAGCATTATACTAGTATTTCAGATGGAGTATTGTTTTGGGTTGCTGAAATGCTCCACATTAGCAAGGTTGGTTGTAATGGATTCAAGTAATCAACAAAACGATTGTGTGATCAAAAATGGTAGGGTTGCCCACTTCTCTTTCCTTTAAAGATGTCTTTCCAGGAACATGTTCCCATTTATCTGGGACAGAAGTCCCAACGGAATCTTTTGCAGTGAGACTCTACAAACGTTGTGTAGGAGACATCCTCAGCACACAACAAATAAGACAGGGGGATTTCTTTTCATACATGGGAAATGCTTGAATAACTTCAATCCAAAAAAACTTCAATCCAAAAAGAGATCACTCTGGCGGAAAAACAAATCTGGTCACGTTGCCAATTTCAAAAACCGATACAAAAATTTATGCCACCAGATAAAGACCGAATGCACCAATTATCACATTAAACAAGAGGAAAAGCACCAATTCCACCCGTGCTTTTTACAATTTTGTAAACAACAAACTAAAAGACTCAAGGTCCATCCCTCCCTTGATAGGACCTGATGGTAAAGACTGCAACGACGACACCATTAAAGCCAACATCTTTAACACATTCTTCGGCTCAGTATTTGTAAACAGCAATGGATCATGCCCAGTATTTCTTAGCCGTACCACAGATAACAACAATGATCTAATACACATCGATTTCACAGAAGACAATGTTGAAAAATCACTACGTAATCTAAAACCATCTCTATCTATTGGACTGGATGGAATATGTGCCTACTTCTTAAGAAAGCTATCCACTGCCATAGCCAAACCTCTAAGCATAATCTTTGAAAAATCTTTCAGGACCAGCTCCTTGCCTAACCTATGGTCACAAGCCACAGTCATCCCCATCTTCAAAAAGGGAGACCCAAGCCTAGTTGAAAATTACAGGCCAATCTCCTTATGCTGCGTCACCTGTAAAGTCATGGAATCAATTATTAACCAATCCATCATCCTCCACTTAGAGACAAACAACCTACTCTCCAATAAACAATTTGGTTTCAGAAAAAAACTATCCTGTAATCTGCAACTCTTACACTGCAAAAACATATGGACGACACAACTCGACCAGGGCAAAGCAATAGACGCAATCTACATAGACTTCTGTAAAGCCTTTGATTCAGTGGTACACGACAAACTACTCCTAAAAATAAAATCCTATGGTATCTCTGGACAACTGAATAACTGGATAGAAGCATTCCTGTCAAACAGACAACAAATGGTCAAAATTGGGAGCGTCCTATCAAATCCAGTACCTGTCAATAGTGGTGTCCCCCAGGGCAGTGTTCTAGGACCAACTCTCTTCATACTCTACATAAATGACCTCTGTGATCATATTAAGAGCAATTGCGTTCTCTTCGCTGATGATGTAAAGATGTTCAATACCACAGACAATACTGCTACCCTACAAAAAGATCTTGACTATGTATCTGAATGGTCGAACAAATGGCAACTTCAAATCTCAACAAATAAATGCTCTGTCTTACATATTGGCAAAAAAAATCAGAAAATAAAATACAAGCTGAATAGTCAAGATCTTGTTGAT